TGTGGGTTTTGATTTTTGTCCCGGGAAAAAGGTTGGGTTTAGTTCTAGATCCCGTAAAAAGAGCGATTTGTCAGGTTTGGTCTTGATCCCGTAAAAGGACTGGATTTTCGATCTTGAACCCGTAAAAGGTGCTTAGTGGAAAATCTCGAGAGATGCACGGAAAGTGGAGTAGGTCGAAGTTTGCCGAACCACTATAAATCTCTTACGTGACGTTTTCTCTATCCTTACTTTTTATTTATTGCAATTTATCTTTTAAGTATATCTTCTTTTATTGCAAATATATATTGTGCTTATCTTGAATACTTGTTTCATGATATTTTGAGTTAGTATAAATTGTTTTTGTTTAAAAAGTTTACTTGATTATTTGATTATTTGATTTATGCTTAAAATTGAAAAAGTTTATTAAATTTATCTTCAACACTATTCACCTCCCCCGCCCCTCTAGTGTTGCCATACCGATCCAACAACTTGAGCAGGGGTAAGGAAAAACCTCGCTTGTAGAGTTTCACATCCCTTACGACATAATGTGCTGCTTTGTGACTGAGCTTCCGAGGTTCAGCTCAATTTTGGGGCACTTTGCCTTCCAAATACTCTATGATGGGATCCATCCAACTAGGATGTCGAGTCTCGACGTCCATAAGGTGGAGCGCCAAGATTGAGGGTGAGTTCAATATTTCAACAGTAACAGACTTAGCGAGGTCGGTTTCATACATAGAGGACAACCTTGCCAAAGTGTCTGCATTTGCATCCTTTGACCGGGGGACCTGATGGATTTCATACTTCGTCAGCTCGGCTAAGAGAGATTTGACCTTGGTCAAATATTTTTCCATGTTGGATCTTTAGCTCGATATTCCTCAGTGATCTGATGCACAATGAGCTATGAGTCACTGTGGATAAGTAAATGTTGAATTCCTAGACTTCTCGCCATCTGCAGTCCGACGAGGAAGGTTTCGTACTCCGCTTCGTTGTTAGAAGCTCGGAATTTAAAGCGGAGGGCGTACTCGAACCTCATGCCACTTGGAGGTATCAACAATACCACAGCTCCACATCCTTTGTCATTTGACGAACCGTCTACAACATAGTCCACAGCTCCGTCATCTCGAGCTCCGAGTTGGATATAACATATTTTTTCCTAAATCTAAGGGAAATCCCAAGACCATGAGAATAATTTCTTATTTTTTTCTTTAATTAATAATAAACAAATTAATTAAATGAATTAACAATTAATTAATTAAATTAATAATTATTAATCTGATTAATAATTAATTAAATAAATAATTAACAATTAATTATTTAACTTTTAATTGAATATCACATATTTAATAGTTTTATTTGAATCGTATTCAACTGTATCTCTCTTGTATAACCTATAGTTTTAATATGAATCCAATTCATATTAATTATTTGAATCCTATTCAAATATTTCTCTCATAACATATAATTTAATTATTGAATTTTATTTAAAAATAAACTATATATATAATGTATCATAATATACATTATATACATTCCCTAATATATAATTTGAACATTTCAAATTTTCTCAAAATCTTGATCCTCGTTTTACCCATTGTGAGCTAGCAATGGGACCTAGTGGACCTACAGATCAGAAGCTCCAACGATACGAGATTAATCATTCAAACTCATTAATGGAGTTAATCAACATTTGTTAACAGTGGGTCACTCCACTAAAGATTCATAGCTGCACTCTTCTCACTGCAGAATATTTTCATGTCCACGGATGTAAGATCATTAACGGCAAATCAATCATTCACAAGTGGCTGGGTCAAATTACCATTTTACCTATGAGTTACATCGCTCCTTAAATGCCACTGCTCCTCTAATGAACAATCCAGTTATGGTCTGACCAGTAATCGAAAGTTCTTCTTGGGCCAGTGAGATAGTGGAGCTCATTATTTAAGTCCCAGAGTCAGCATGTAAGGAAACACTCATCTACTTCCCTAAGTTCTATCTTGTGCAGTTATGTTCTCAACTCCCCACACGGTCTTGTCCCCAAATGGTAGGATTATTGAGTCGGCAACCTGGGTCACTCTCACTCATACAAATCAAAGGACGATTTCTTATAGTAATGAGTCCATAACTCGCTCAGGATTAATATCGAGTTACCTGATCATCCTATGAGATAACAATCCATTGACTAACAGTGTTAGAGCCAATGATTAATTATTTCGCGACTCGGTCTTAGACAAACTCATTGTATATGATACCCCCACTCGCATGTCTCTACATGAACGATCTGGATAAAGTAGTTTGTAACTATTACAAAACGGGCCTTATCCATAGTGTTACCAGGATAAGGTACCCAACCTTATCCATGAACTATAGATGTTTTAGTTTATTACTGGAACATTATCCACTTGTATGTCGAATATATATGTATATATATTGTATATAAAATATATACATTGTATATTAAATATATACTGTATATCTAATATATACTGTTCCAGTTACATTAAATAACGTTGAATCTTAGTTTATTGGAATATGAGTAATGCAAAGAAATAATAAGATAACTCTCTATTGAATAAATTATTTGTTCATAAATTACAAATACACGAACTAAGGGCACCAAACCCAACATTCTCCGCATCTGTCATAGTCTTGCTTGTGTAATAGATGGGACTCTAACGTCCATTTTTCTGTTTTATTAGAGCTGAACTGACCGCCTTCTCTAATACTGTAAAGTAAAGAAAGAGCTAATCTCCTTACATTTGCTTTGTTAGCAACGATGTTGAGCTCAAGTAGGATTTGAGTTGGTCGAACACGACCTGGCACTCTGAAGTCCACTCGAACTGCCCTTTGGTCTTCAAAACTTTAAAGAACGACAAGCACTTGTCGGTCGATCGAAATATATATCAATTTAAGGCTGCAATCCGTCCTTTCAAACACTGTAGTTGTTTTAGGTTCTTCGGGGGCTCCATCTCAAGAACAGCTCAAATCTTTTCAAGGTTTGTTTCAATTCCTCTTTCATTCACCATGTAACCGAGGAACTTGCCTAAAGATAAAACCAAAGGCTCACTTAGTTGGGTTGAGCTTCATGTGGTAATATCGTAGAACTTTAAACGCTTCTTTCAGGTCTACAAGGTGCGAGCTGGCTTTCTTGCTCTTTAGGAGCATGTCATCTATGTAGACCTCCATATTGCGATAAAGTTGCTTGGCAAACATTTTGTTGACTATGCACTGGTAGGTCGCTCCCGCATCCTTCAAGCTAAACGACATGACCTTGTAGCAATATAAGCCTTGGTCGGTAATGAATGCAATGTGTTGTTGGTCGAGCTCGTGCATTTTGATTTGATTATAGCCTGAGTAGGCATCCATGAAGGTCAGTAGCTGGTGTCCGACTGTCGTGTCCACTAGTTGATCTATTATTGGTAAAGGGAAACTATCCTTAGGGCATGCTTTGTTTAAATTCGTGACGTCTACACACATACGCCATTTACCATTTGATCATTTAACTAAAAAAACATTAGAAAGCCAATTGGGTAGAGAATTTCCTTTATACATTAAGCTTGTAAAAGCTTGTTCACCTCTTCTACAATTATAGCACTCCTCTCATTATTTACAAGGCCATGCTTTTGTTTTACAGGTCAGTGGGAGGGGTCTATGTTAAGTTGGTGAACGATAATGCTTGGATCAATGCCAGGCATGTCTTCATGCGACTAGGCGAACACGTCGGCATTTGTCTTCAAGAAGTTAATTAGCTCAGCTCGATCTCTGGCCCCCAACATGGTTCCAATACTCACTTGTTTATCTGAGCTAAATAATGGAACCAGCTCTAGCTGCTCTGCCAGCATGCATTTGTTCAGCTCAGTTTCCTCATTGGCCAGCTCGTTCTAACTCATGATTTTTGCACATGTGTTGGAGCCTTTCAATGCTGCAGCATAACATTCTTGTGAGGCCTTCTACTCACCTCGTACTATCCCCACTCCCTTGGGAGTAGGATACTTCAACATTTGATGGTACGTAGAAGGGATGGCTGATATCTCTCTATAAGAGAGTGTTTTATGGCTTAATTCAGGTTATATTTGTGCGAAAATGTGAGGATCCTTATTAAAATACCATGGAAAATAAAAGAAATCATCTAGCTAGGGCCCTGAGCTGTTATAATTCTCTACTCCCTCACTTTGAATGAATTCACCTTAATTCTTAATGTTTTTGAACATGAATCGTAGAATTTAGAGAGGATGAGCTGAGTGCTGCCAATCCTGTCTAGGGTGTTGTTGGAGCGTGACTGGAGGATGCGTTTGTGCTGGAGCTTAAGGCCGCCCGGATGCTTTAGCACCAGTGACTGTGTAGTGACTCTTCACATCAGTTTTTTATCGCGTTCGTACAGCTTTTAGGAGGTGCCCTAATTTTTAAAGACTAGATATACAAGTAAATGATACCCTAGCCGCAAAGGAGGGGGGGGGGGCATAACAAAGATTCAAAATTAGAGCATTGATTTCAGAGAACATTCCACATCTTGTCACCATCTTTTTCATTAAAGAAGGAGCTGAAGGTGTGGCCAATTCTCCATGGCATCATCATCTTGTTGCTGAGGAAACTTCCATTTCTCTACTGCTTACTTCATCGTTGGAGCTCATTTCTCTTCTACCCATTCTTTTCCTTTCTTTCGTTATGAACTAAACCCTGTCTTCGGGGGGGACGAGCTCGTTGTAGCCATTTTTTTTAAATGTGTTTGAGTGACCTTAATTACTGTTTTAATAGAAGTGTTTTAATTCTTCCATCTTACTAATTTTGTTTGGCCAACTTTATTGATGTCATTAGCTTGCTAGAGGCTCGGGAGAGTCATTTCTTAGTGCGTTTGTTTCTATTAGTTTTAGAATCCTCTCTTTGAAGTAGGATGGTGAGTACTCAAGGATGGGACTCACCCTATTGCGCCTATAAACTGCTTTTATTGATTGCTTTCATTACAACGGGAGTTGTATTTAAGCATGTTTGGATATCTCGAGAGAGAACCACGACGGTTTGAGCATTCAGTATGTTTGGTTTGCTAGAGCATAGTTAGCAAAGGTGAAAGCACCTGCTGACCAAAAATTATTCTTTAGAGCGTGTAAAATAGGTTGGCCAAAAATGGCGTTGTATGCTGATCGGCCGTCGATCACCACGAACTCAACCACCCAGGTCACTTGAGTTTCTCCTTCACCGAGCGAGATGGGGAGCTCAATGCAATCATCAAGAGTCACACATTCTCCGGAGAATCCAACCAAAGGTGTTGGACTTTTCTTCAACTGAGCTCGTCCCCATCTTAATGCCTTGTAGGTTGATAGAGTAAGAATGTTAGCAGATGCTCCACCATCTATAAGAACTCGATGTACTATGATGTGGTTGATTTGGAAGGCAATCACCAGCGCGTCATTATGAGGTAGGTGGACGCCTTGCAAGTCGGCATCCGATAGTGTTATCGAGCTGGCTTCTGGCTTTGGTTGGACTGAGCACACCTCATGTCTAGCCTTCAGGGCTAGTTCTTTGCGTTTACGGCCTGACTGGCCATCACTGGGTTCTCCGTGGATCCTGTTGATCATAGGAGGTTGGTCTTCACTCTTGGGGGGGATCCTCGACCTCTCCCTTTTCTCTTCATTTTTGCTACTTGAGGGCTTTGAGCTATCATTTAGGTTCCTTTTGCCTACATACTTCTTGAAGTAGCCTTGTCGAATTAGCCCTTCAATTTGTTGCTTCAAATCGTAGCAATTTGAGGTGTAATGGCCATGACCTCGGTGGAATCCACAAAAATTTGACCTGTCCCGATGTTTGAAACCTTGCCGCATTGGTATAGGGTCTGTTAGCAAGTCAATTTTCGCGTCTTTGATATTGGTCAGGATCTTTGACAGGGGGATTCTCAACTGCGTGAACAAGCCGAATCACTGTGGCTTGTCGCTTTTCTAGTCATCTGCCTATTGTAGTTAGGTCGACGAAATGAGTTCCCACCGCTATTGCCATTATTATTATTATTTTCTTATCTTTCTTCTTCTCGTTCTTTGACGGAGAGCCCTTACTCTCATACTTATCATCTTTGGACATCATGATGTCCTCTGCCTCAATAAATTTGGTTTGCTCGGTCTAAGCAACCCTTCAAGGTCAGCTCGAGCTTATTTGTCAGTGACCAACTTAACTTCTCATGGGTCACGCCATTGCAAAAGGTAGACCAAGCTAGCAGGTTAGTGTCGATTCTATATCATTTATTAATGTCAACTAATTTTTAAAATAGAATTCATTGTTAATACATAAAAGTAAAACTGAATATTACTTTCTATTAATAATTATTATTCTAACAAAAAATTATACAAAATCTTTTCTTGATGTGATGTTATTGTAAAATATTATTTACTCGTATCTAATTGATCAGTTATTTAATTTAATTTAACTAGTTTTTACTCGTTAATAAAATTAAATTGTTAAAATATAATTAATTATTATTAAATAAAATAAACAATAAAATTGACTAAATTTTTATATCAATAATTACGTCTAATTTATTTCGTCATTGACACGACCTATCCTTACCATCTTACTACCACTTTTAGAATGAGTCGTGCCGACCATGAACCCCAACTAATTACGGAGTTCCTAGTTGAATTTCTTGCTGTACTTTTAAGCTAAATTTAAATGATTGACTACTATATGCAACACGAAAAGTAAACGTAAACTAGAAATAACTATTCTTTCCCAACTTCCAAATATATTGCACAATCCAAAAGGTGAGCTAAACTATTATGAGTCATGTTTAAATATACATACAAAATGATATGCAAATTCTAAGAAATTCTGAGTGGCAGAAATTGGTTGCTATCTTTTTGTCATCTCTTTGAATCTCAAGTATGGTAAAGAAAATAAAGGATAAACGGTGAACTGGGAAACTCAGTGAATGGTTAGTTTTAATAAGAAAATAATCTCATAAAACTTATTTAAAAACATTGGAGTTTAAGCTTGATAAAACACTATAAAAACTTTAGCAACTATTAACTGAGACATTCTTATAAAAACTTGTAGATACTTCTGTAAAAACATTCGCTTCTAAACATAAATAGGGTTAGAAAAACACAACACCACACATATACCCATATCTCTAGTCTACTGACATAAAGTAATCTTCAAACGCAAAGCATAATAATTCGGTATACTCCCATAGAATAATCTCAATATGTATAGTAGAATAATTATGGTTTACTGACATAGAGTAATCTAAATATACAAGAGTAATTTTAATACACACAACAGAATATAATTCTAGTCCACTGGCATATAGTAATCTTAATATACACAGAATAATATCTTCTCAACGCCCGCAAAGTTAAATAGTCCAAAAGACCTCCCTAATAGATATAATATAGAAACACATTCATATAACATACGTGTAACTAGTTGGGTACAACGATATGGTGGCTTGCAAACTACATTCTGCATCAAACTTTCAATTTCATATACTATTATGAAATTATTCCTTCTGAAAAACTTTCTTAAATTATTTCTAAAATCTTTCTTTATACAAACATTTCTTAAACTTCAAACATTTCACTAAAATTATAAACATTTATAAGTTCTCAGGCAAAACACATTTTATTTCATTCTCAACAGAAATTCTATGTCATACATAATTATATAATTCTTTGAAATTCTATGATAATAAATATCTAAAAATATTTTATAAAATAAAACACTCATAAATCCAATAATAATTATCTAAAAACATTTAACCAAAATAACCGTTCACAAATCCAATAATAATATATATAAAAAACATTTAATAAAATAATTACTACTCATCCTTATTTAAACTTTATAATAATAAATAGTTAAAAGTATTTTTAAAAATAATACTCGACAAGGAAAAACTCACCGTATTTTGTGAAGTTTTTGAACCATGAAATTTCCTACTTAATGCATCACACGATACTCAATATTGCAATCATAATCTTTTATCAACTCAAGCCACCCCACAAAAGTTCAATTCATTCTATTATTATTTGTAAATTATATCAGAAGAAATTTTAGGATAAAATTTAGAAAATTTTTACTTAATACGTACTTTCAAAGGTATCAAATATTTTTATTTCTTTTTCAAATATAATATAAGTTTGATTTTTTTGGGCATGTCTTATGTTAGGTTCTAGTTTGATTTTGATTCGAATTATGGTTTTTTTTTTTTTGGTAAAATTTTAAACCTTTTGCTATTTTTAACATGCTATTCACGTAAATCTCAGTTAATATGCTATTCACGTAAATCTCACAAAAATTTATTACTATCAAATAAAACATATGAGGATCGTTATTTAATTAATAGCTTATTTTGTTTTTGTATTTTAATCCATTAGGAGTATAAAAAGTGTACTACAGTATTTCTCATATGTCTTATTTTTATTTCTAATTCAAGTAAAAAACATCAATCTCGTTATGTTATTTCAGACGAAAGTATCTCTACTCTCCCGAGGAATTATAGATTTGAATTCCGCAAAACAAATTAATCTCTCATTTTAATTATAAAAAATTAAATAGGTAGTGGCATCGTCAAAAGAATAATATTCATATTTTCGTTGCTATCATTTTGATTATTTAACATTCTCAATCCTAAGAGATATTTTAATGGTTGGAGTTAACTGTCTCAATTTTATGAAAATTTTGAAGAAAAAATCAATCAAGATGTCAATATTAATAAATATTTTTAAAAATATTATAATAAATTTTAAAAATATTATAAAATTAATGAGGCTCACATAAATAATCTTTAATTAATAAGAAAACACTTCACTATTTTCAAATAAGTTTTAAATTAATATTATCTCTGCACTAATATGATTTTTATTTTGTATATCTTTTATTGATCTAATATATATATTAATTAATCTCTTATATCAACATCAAATAATATTCGGTTTCATTTTCATTTATTTTTTCGGTTTCCTATTCTTTAATAAAGAAAAATATAATTATTTAATCTCCTACCCTCATGAATGCAAGAATGATAAAAAGATATTTTTATTTATGTGGAGCAAATTGTAAACCGGAACAAAAACACTTGTTTTTAAAATTTTTATACAATTTTGATAATGTTTCTAAAAAAAATAAAAAACCAATAGTTATTAAATCTTTGAGTTTCCTAATAAAATTGAAAACGACACATAAATAAAAATAATATTAGCAAAAAAACCTTAATATATTGTTTCTAATTAAGTACGAAGGTGGTCAAAACGAATATAATTTAAAGATAATTGACACATATCTCAAATTAGGAGATTTTGAATATTATACTAAAAATTAAATTGGAAAAGGAAAAAAAAACTCAATTAAGAGGCGGTGCCACACGTCAGTCCGTACATGGAGTTGTGTGCACTTTATAATCTAAAAGAAATAAATTAATGAAAAAATAATTATTAATATTAATAATTAAAACACGTCCTTGTCATTTAGTTACAGCTGTGGCGGCAGCAGACCTGTGGGTTGTCATTTAGTGCCGAAACGCACATGGTTGTTGCCATTGGTGGGTCCCACGTGGGGACCACAAAATAGTCGACACGTGTACCAAGTAAAAGTCAAGTGGTCGCTGGCACGTGCCGCGCGGGTGCAATCTATGCGACACCTGGCGCCTCTCCGTGTTGCGTGCCACGTGCCGTTTGACCGAGGGGAATAAGTTCGGAGTATTGTGTTGGCAATGGCAAAGAAAGCAGTATTAAAACGGCATCGTCGCGAGTTAGAGACAGCGAATGTTCCATTGGCATTTGGCAATGCAATGACGGTGTTATAAGGGTTTAGTTTGAAATTGTTGTAGCAATTAAAATAGCTTATCGCAATTATATATTTTAGAAAAATTAGTTGTTATATGAAGTAAATTAATTAAGACCATTTCGTTTTTAGTTTTTGAAAAACAAATAATATTTAATAACCAATTCAATTTTTATTTTTTGCTTTTGAAAAAAAATGGTATTTGATAATCCACACTTATTATCTCTATATAATTTTATCTCTCTAATATATATTTTCAATTTTTTACTCTTTTAAAATGGAAAATTTAAAATGATTACTTTTGGTTTTCTGTTTTTTAAAAATAGAAAACAGTTATCAAATACGTATGATCTTTGTTTTTTAAAAACAGAAAACAAAAAACAAAAAACATAAAACATAAAAGTAGAAAATAGAAATGACTATCGAATGGATCATAAATTTCAATTTTAAATTAAAAAACACATATTATAGTATTTGGTAAACTATTACTAAATTCATTTTAGTTTTAGACTTAGAAAACACATATTGTAGTGTTTGGTAAACTATTACTAAATTCAGTGTGATTTAGTTATGTAATGACTAAATAAAGTAGCTATATTATTTTAATTATTTTTTATGTTGGTATTTAATGTATAAATTTACTATAAGATAATTATTCAAAATACAAATTAGTCTCTGTACTCTAAGCCATCAGTGCCATAAGGAGAAAACAATGGTTACAAAAAAATTGAATCAATCAAAATTTCGATCATAAGAAAGGGATAAAGAGACCAATAATTGTAAAAAGAAAGGTACGATAATTTTTTTAAAAATTTTGTTAAAGAAGGAGACTGACAGTTTTTTAAGAAAGTTTTGAAACACATCGGAATAAAGGAGACAGTGATTTTATATAAATTAAAAACACCAAACATTACCTAAAATTCTGCATAATTACTTTTAGTCCTGATAAGGAGTACTTCTAAATGGATCGGTTTGTGAATTTTTAGTCTTAAATTTTTTAAAAATTTTAATGTTACTTGGTATTGGTCTTTGCATTTTACAAAGTTGTAAT